GGGGGGGGGGGGGGGAACCGCCGTTGTACTGATCAGAAAATTGAGCGGCTGATTAATGGCTCTAATCGCGCATTTTTTAATAATATATATTTATTGTCAAATTTGCCTCCACCTGCTACCGTAACAGCTCGGTGACAGAATCTTGCGTGAATGACAACCGTGACTGGAGGACGACTATTTTCCTTATCCACGTGAGTGTCATCCCTCACCGGTCACCCCTCTCCTTTTGAATTGTCGGGCAACATAATGTTTAATGCAATTATTGATTTATTTATTATTTTTATTATTATATAATCTCTATTATTTGAAAGTTAGGTTTTTCTAATTAATTTAAACCATCAATTATTAGTTGGTCTCATCAATATATATTTTGAGATTAATTTAAAATTATAATATTAAATACAAGAGTTTAATATAAATATTTTTGTATTTAAATACTTGTAAAATCATCAAATAGTGCAAAGGGTTCATTTATAAACCTAATAAAATATTAAAGTGAGTTTGTTGCCATATTTTACTATTTAATTTTATCTATTTCGTCTTTAAAAAAATTCAGTAAATTAACAAATTGTGGAAAAAAAAAGCCATTTAATTAAAAAAAAGAAAAGAAAAGATTTGATTAAGGTGACAGGCATGTGAGTGTATCACAAAGCACTACGAAACTATGGAACGTGCAGTCAAGTAGCGAATGGGGTTGCAGTAGGAAAGAGAGAGAGAGAGGGACATTTGTGTATTTTTACATATCTTTTATTAATATAATTATAAAATAAATTATGCATTTAATATGGAATTGGAATATTAGTCGGCCGTCGCCGCCGTGGGAAGCGCTGCAGAATGAGCCAAAAAAACATGTCCCTTTTCACCGATCAACCCGCTGGCCCCCCAAGTTATTTTACTTTTGGCCGACACATTTTTTTACTTCATAAAATATAAACCACCAATTTTTTTTTAACACAACTCTGACTCGGTCCGACTCTCGTACCATTTGAAATATTCTAAGCTCACCGCTAGTCGATATTGTTTGCTTTGACCTGTTATGTATTGCCGTTAGCCTCACTGATTTAATACGCGTTTACTAGAAAGATGTTTTTACATCTTTATAAGGAATGTTTCGTTATCCTCTACCACCAATATAGAATTTCACATGATGATTGTGGCTTAGTCAAATAAGGTGGCTCATGTTTGACGCTTGAGACGAGCTTAATGAGGTTGTATTAGGAGTCTGTCGCTCCACTTTAACACCTCTATTGCCAACATGTACCACCAACCCACCATAACCACTTGCATTAGGTAGGCGTCACAACTAATCAATTGTAATTGATGACGATGTATGTTAAATTCAATATGATTTATTGGTCGATAATGTATGCTTAAATCAATTGAACTATGTTTAGGAGAATGACATAATAAAGATTTAAAGTAATTTTAAAGACAAATCTAAGATTAGATCCAATCTAATTCAATTCTACTTTAGTATAGAGTTTTACATCTATGATCTAGAACACACCCGTATGAAAAATGATGCACTAGTTCATCGTTGCACGTGAAAAAACTTAGTTAGAATGGATATTTTTCGATGTTCACATTTAATGATTTTAACATGTATGATCAGCAATCGACACTCGAAAATGGTTTCACTCCCGATCAACTGCTATGAGAGTTTTGTGTGTAAAATACATTTTCATCTTTGATGGATGCTTTGGTTTGTAGTGCTTCCTCCAATGACTCGTTTTTTTCTTCTTGCGTTGCTCGTATACCTTTAGCAATCCAGCAAGATCATTAACAGTTAGATCTTCTAGATCCTTTGACTCCTCGATAGCGCACATGACATTCTCGTAATTCTCGTTTAGTGACTGCAAAATTAGCTCCACAACGCATAACTAAATTCAAGAAATTTATAAAAATTGAAGAAAAAAAAATAGAAAAAGAAAGATTCTTGTTCGTACTTCAACTGTTAATTGAAATAGAGTAAAGCCCTCCAAACATCTCTTTCTTGTTGGTTTCGGATTTGTCCATGTGTAGCGCTTCCACTGCCTCTTTATCCTCTTCGTGAAGTTCATAGCCATTTCGAATTCTGATGCTTGTCGGTGGAAGATGCTCCTGTCAATCCCACCAAATGGACAGTCTATTCCGGTGGAAATCAAGCATGAGACATTCCATGCCCGTCAAAGTCGACTTCTTCACTTGCTGAGCGACTGTACTGATTTGTCGAGGCTCAAGCAAATACACGCTCAGGCACTTCGCACCTTCTCCACCCACAAATCTTCTCTCTTCCTCTTTAGCCGAATTCTTCACGTTTCTTCATTAACTGATTTTGAGTATGCATTACGCGTTTTTGATCAAATCGATAGCCCTAATTCGTTCATGTGGAACACTCTAATCGGAGCCTGTGCACGGAGCTTGGACCGGAAAGAGCAGGCGATTGAACTCTTCTACAGAATGTTAGAAGAAGGCTCAGTTGAACCAGATAAACATACTTTTCCTTTTCTTCTTAAAGCGTGTGCTTACGTATTCGCTTTATCTGAAGGGAGACAGGCGCATGCTCATATCGTTAAACGTGGGTTAGATTCGGATGTTTATGTTGGCAATAGCTTGATTCATTTATATGCTTCTTGTGGCTGTTTGAGTTTAGCATTGAAGGTGTTCGAGAAAATGCCTCACAGAAGTTTGGTTTCGTGGAATGTGATGATTGATGCGTATGTACAATGTGGGCTTTTTAAAAATGCTCTCAATCTATTCGCTGAAATGCAGAACACTTTTGAGCCCGATGGATATACAATGCAGAGCATAATTAGCGCTTGTGCGGGTATTGGAGCTTTATCTCTGGGGATGTGGTCTCATGCTTATGTGTTGAGGAAGACTGGTGGCGCTATGGTCGGTGAGGTCCTGATCAACTCCTCACTGGTGGATATGTACAGCAAGTGTGGTTCTTTGAGTATGGCTCAGCAGGTCTTCGAGACAATGCCCAAACATGACCTGAATTCATGGAATTCAATGATTTTAGCGTTTGCCATGCATGGACGGGCGGAAGCTGCCTTGGGATGTTTCTCTCGGCTGGTTGAAACGGAGAAGTTCCTGCCCAACTCTGTCACGTTTGTAGGTGTTCTTAGTGCATGTAACCACAGAGGTATGGTTGCTGAAGGCCGGAAATATTTTGATATGATGGTTAATGAATACAAGATTGTACCCCGGTTGGAGCACTATGGATGCCTTGTTGATCTCCTATCACGCTCTGGTTTCATTGATGAAGCTTTGGAGTTGGTGACAAATATTCATATAAAACCAGATGCAGTGATCTGGAGGAGTCTTCTTGATGCTTGTTATAAGCAGAATGCTGGCGTTGAGCTGAGCGAAGAAGTGGCATTGCAGATTCTTCAATCTGAAACAACAACTTCTAGTGGTGTTTATGTGCTGTTGTCAAGAGTCTATGCTTCAGCACACCGGTGGAACGATGTCGGGTTAGTTAGGAAGGCAATGGCCGACAAGGGTGTGGCAAAAGAGCCAGGCTGCAGTTCAATAGAAATAGATGGTGTTAGCCATGAGTTTTTTGCAGGAGACACATCTCACCCCAAGATAAAAGAGATCTATGCTGTTATTGATTTGATCGAAGAAAAACTACAGAAGCATGGTTATTCACCTGACTATTCACAGGCAACCATGGTCGACGACCCCGATACCGTCAAATGGCAGTCGCTTAAGTTGCATAGTGAGAGATTCGCCATTGCTTTTGGGCTACTAAACTTGAAACCTGGGATGCCAATACGCATATTCAAGAATCTTAGAGTATGCAACGACTGCCACCAGGTAACCAAGTTGATTTCTCGAATTTTTAACGTAGAGATTATCATGAGAGATCGTAATAGGTTTCATCATTTTGAGAATGGCATGTGTTCCTGCATGGACTTCTGGTGATTTATTCAAGAACCTGCAGTTTTTTCTTTGAACATCAATGATACAAAAAGCTTCCTAAATTTGGCTGCAATTACTGACATGGATAGTTACATCAATACACATCTTCTGGGAATCCCTAAATCGACTTATATGATCTTCCACATATGGCTTCAAGTTGCTTTTGTTCTAATTATTTCTGTGTGGCCAAATGAAAAAAACATGTAGAATCTGAGTGACTAGCTGGGAACCAAGGCCATCAGGCACCAATCTGAGACTCATCTGAGGAATGTAATAGCCTCAATCTCTTGTTCCCAATGGATTTCATAATAAACGTTGTTTTTCGAAGTCCTTCCCCACTGAAAAACAAAGATGGCCAGATGGATGTTGAGGAAAAAAGATCAAAACAAGGAATAATATGAATTTAGAAGTATTGTTGGGAGGAAGATCTTACATTTTGATGACTCAGGAACGGCAACCACATGCATGGTTGCATTGTTGGGAGGAAGTTGCAGGCGAAGGGGATAGAGATTCCCATTCAATGGATTGCGGGTACACACAATGATACCTTTGATTCCTGTTTCTTCCTCCATTTTACGAGTCAGTTCCTCCACCCCATTTCCTTTGAACATAAAAGAAGAACCCTCCACTGTATCTTCATCTACATCTCCTCCACTTTCATCAGCCACGTGGTAGTAAATCGTCCTTCCATCAGATTTGGGAGGTAAACTAACAGTTGAATCAGTAGACTACAAGAAAACCCACAAAAATTGGTGATCAGAATTTGAAGGAAAGGAAGTCAAATTGATCAAATTCGCCTTGGAAAGAAGGTTTATAGAGATCTCAAACCTCAAGTTTAGAGTAATTGGACGATTTGCCAGCGGCAGAAGGGGGAGAGCTGGGATTGAAATCCAGAGAATCCATATGCTCAATTGTGGCAGCTTTATGATTTGCAGACTGGACTTGGATTTCAACAACGTCGATGTCCCAGAGGATCCAATCCTGTGTGGCGGTTCGACTCGGAATATCATGAGTGACCGAATTCCGCCATGGCGGTAGACCCCCATTGGCTCTCAAAAAGTTCCCATATCGGGTCTTGAGCTTGACCTGGGACCCTTCTCTGACGGGTTCCCATTCGACAGACGAATCGAGCCGTCGAGGAAGGGTTTGAAGCACTTTCCGGCCGGTCATTCCGAGCAAGAAAGGCTGATTGCTGGCGGTCAGGTATTTGCCGTAGCAGCTTTTGAGACGGATGATCGAGTCAGAGCTAGCGCCAGATGCAAACTCGACGGACCAGCGAGCAGTTTTGGAAGATCCACTACGGTCTTGGTTAACCGACTCCTCGTCGTTGTCGGCGACAAGGTACTTGTCGTGGTGGCTGCGGAGGCGGACGGTCTTGGCGTTGCGGAAGAAATCCATGGCGGATCGGAGGTTGTTGGCGGAGCAAGATTTGAGCTGTGGAATAAGCAGAGGAAGTGCTCAAATTTATTTGGATTTGTGTCCGAACAAAGAGGGCAGTGAATTTATATCAAATGCTGTGATTAGATTCCCATTTGATCCAGAACCGGGAAATTTCTAAGGAACTGAACGATTGTCAAAAGTGGTAAAAGAAAGTCAGCTATAGCGATGCGAGTTGAAACTACGCGGCATTAAAGTGATGAGTCTGACAGCCCCTTCGCGCTGCTTACGGCGTAAGTCAAGCGGCCCCTCGGAGATGTTAAAAATACGTCGTCGAGACGGGATTCTTTTCTTTTTTTCCTTTTTTTGTTTGTTAATATAGTAAGTAGGATATAATGCATTAGTAATTTTATTGAAATGATTTAAAATGGAATTATAAACAATCATGAATATAGAAAAATAAAATTACCAAATTAGGCATAAATTTATAACGTAAGCTTAACTAGTAATTAAATTACTTGGCCCATCATGGTCTGCACGTGACGATAGTGGGATAGAGATATCCACGAGTCACGGACAGAGAAGCCACCTACTATCTTTGCAAAGTTCTCCCTTTTAGCTACCTATTTCTTCCCCGAATTTACAAGAATGGAGTTCAAAAAAAAAAAAAAAAAAACGGTTTATTATTCTTTTAAAAAATAGTTAAATATATATATTTTAAAATTTTAAAATTATAACATAACAAATTATGAAATAAAATCTACCCAGGAGACTTATTACCATTAGAGATTTAAAAGTAACTAATTAATTTTTAATATATATGTGTATATATTTTAATATGGGTTTAAAAATAATTTATATATTTTCATCCCATACCCTATTTATCAAATGTTCTCCACCACAGTCTAAAATAAGAATCTCTTCCCGTTTAGGATATATCCCACAGTAATAGTATGAGGTTAAAATAGACATTTCTATAGTGGGTTAGAGAGTATTTCCGTAATTATAATATATATAATATCGGTATGAAAGGAAAAATGAAGGTAGTGGAGCGTGGTAGGTAGCCGTAGAAATGGTGTGACCCTTATTCTCCAAACCAGTGCGATCTTCCTCATTCCTCACTTTAATTTAGCTTTTTTAATTTTTTTTAATAATATTGTATTATAAGGAGTTAGATTGTGAAACAAAGAATTAAAATCAGAAAAGGTAATTAAAATATTCAAGCAAATCAATATCTTCGAACAAAAATAAAATAAAATTGCAGGTCGAGAGAATTGTTCGAACCTGGAACGTGGAGGATCGCCGCACAGACTTGGGAGTGGCCGGAGAACTTTTTCCAGAGGCGGAAAACTCATCGGCAGAATTAGACATCGACCACGTCCTTCGACTCATCAATAAACAATACTTCCGAGTTTCATCCACCGCTTCCACATCCCACAAAATCCACCCCTTAGTGGACGATAATCGCGGCTCATCATGAGTCACAGAGTTCCTCCACGGCGGAGTAACTCCGTTCCCCCTCAGATACGTACCACACCAACTCATCAACTTCACCCGATCGCCGTCGCGTACAGGCTCCCACTCCACACTCCACGGCGCACCGACTTTTTCGTATTTGGTTTGCAGCGTCACCTTCTTCCCAGTGGCACCGAGTAAAAAATTAAGGCCGGAAGCGGAAAGGTAACGGCCATAACAACTCCGGAGACGAATCGCACCGATTTTGCCCTCGACGAATTCGACGCTCCAAATGGCGCCCTCGGCGGAGGCCTTAGTGGTCTGGCGAACGGTTTGGCGATCATCGTTCG